AATAAATAAATAAATAAATAAATAAATAAATAAATAAGAACCACTTAATACCATTTTATGTCTCTAACATGTCATAAGATCGCTATGAACAAAATATTTTGTTTTTATTTTGTAGTAAGAGGACCGCAGAAAACAAACTGGTAAATAATTAAAATAAATCTCATTTTAATTTGCCAACTTTGAAGCAAGTTTGAACCTTTTTTAATTATTATTATGTTCAGTTTAATCATTTGTACAAACTGTATCTGATTATTTACTGCTCTTAAGTTTGGTTTGAGTTATTTTGTTTGGACCTTCCCTGAAACTTTGGACTTTTTTTTGTGGCCTGAATAAATTTAAACCTGGTCAGTCCCCTCCAAATCCTCCATAAAAAACACACAAATAAAAAACTCAAATAATGTGTAAGCTTAGTTGAAATGTAAATATTCGTCAAATAAAAATAAAAAAAGCTGAAACATCTTTATTTTTTTATTGCAAACCTTAACAGCTAATTTGATTTCAATTGTTCAATAAAAATATATTTTCTACCCTTAATTTTCTCATAAATAATCAAAACTATACCCAAACAGGATTCATTATTTATGCTAAACTGTCTGCATTTACCGGTCTGATCAGACCATTTCTAGAAGCGTCATCATTAAAAAACAAGTTGTCCGGAAGGTGTGGGTTCACCTTTTGGTATTTAACATTAAATTACATAACTCATCACATACTGACCTTTTCATGTGTTGGGGCCACTGAGACATTATCAGCGTCAACTTTTTTTTTGTCCTCTACGCACTATTTTTTAAACATTTTTTTATTTTAGTGGTTTCACAGCTTTCAGCAAGTGAGACACTTTGTTCCACATTTTGTTGTAAGCTGATGAAAACTGTTCTACAACAAAGCAACATTTATTTGTCTAGTAAAGGCAATTAAACTATAAAACAACTGAAATAAAGAGCTTGGCTGTTGGTCTGTCTTTGCAGAGGGAACTTCTGCTCGATATTCGATAATTGCAAACTGATGATGCTCAGGGATTGGCATTTCGAACAATGCCACTCTTCAATTTCATTTGCGGTTATTTCATTATTTTTCAAATATCTTGATCCACTTCTGCTTCACTCATGAGTTACAGCAATTTGAGCTTTTCACACCAGGTTTTTGTTTCATCTATTACTGATAAAAGGCTTAATAATACACCACAACAATAGATGATGAGCGGGGAAAGGGGGCYAGTCAAGCAACATGTGGAACTTAAGGTTTTAAGAATTTAGTGTCAACAGGTGCATCACTAAAATGWATCGAGTTGAGCAAAACCTGATGAAGGTTTATATTTAGCTTAAAAGGATCAACCTGGACCAAACATTGGGGTTTGGAGTGATAAAACACTTAATCTCACACCATCATAAATGTTGGCTTTTTATTTTTAGTGTTTATTTAAGAAAGATAGTTTAAAACAAAGGTGTCAAACTCAAGAGGACCAGTATTCAAAACTTGATCCAAGCCAAGGGACACTATCTGTCAGTATTTATTAAAGAGTAACTTACCCCAAAATTAATTTTTTTAGCTGATAAACTGTCTAGAATGTGTCTAAAATGTTATATAGTACTG